GCTGTTTCGGCAGATGTTCTCAGACAGTGAAATCATTTTCTTGTGTAGAATGAAAATATACTTACCTTGATTATTATGGTGTTGCTCCTCCTTTCAAGTCCATTTTATCACAGCTAATTGACAAAACAGATCAGTTTGTATTATTATATGATGAGTGTCTGAACCATAAATCTCAATCCAAACAAATGGATATCTATGTTCGCCTATGGAAAAATGGTAAAGTAGCCATAAAATTTTATGGGCTCCAATTTAAGGACAAACTAATGCCAACACCCTGCTTAAGAAGTTTAGTGCTTGGGTTGAAAGAAATAAGTCTATGCAACCTTCTTCAGGTGCCTGTGGATGGTCCAAATGTAATCTGGAAATTTTTTATTTATTTCAACATTTTTTCAAAACAGACTGATACATCATTGTTAAACATTTGAAGCTGCAGACTGTGTATTGTAATGGAGCTCTTAGGGATGGTTTTCTTGTGTGAACTGGGAAATCACAGAACTGCAATCCAGTATGTATTGGCTATTCAAAGACAGTCCAGCTAGGAGGGAAAATTATACCACAGTAGTGAGTAGTAATTGTTTTTCTTTGAAATGTTGTCAACTAAGATGGCTAGAAAATGTTCTGGTAATGGAGAGAGCACTTGAAGTTTGGCCTAAAGTCATCAAATATTTTAACAGATTTGTGGAAAGTGCTGATCCAAAAAAAAGAATCCTTTGAAACAGTTAAGGTGATGTGCAATGACAACATGGTTACTCCTAAAATTTTATTTTATTTTTCTCTCTGTCACTAAACAAATCACACCTTTCATTATTGCCTACCAGTCTGGTTAACCTATATTATCTTTCTTTTTTGATGATATGCAATAGGTTATCAGAGGACTGATGTAAAGATCTGTTAGATCTGATGTTCTTATGAAACCACAACTGTTGCTAAGCTTATGAAAGCATATCCAATGAAAAGAAAATTACTGCAGCCTCAAATAGGTAGAAGTGGGTTTTGTGGCAGACATCATTTTAAAAGATTTGTTAATAACCAAAAAATTCTTTGAACTTAATTAAGTGCTTGAATTTGAAATAGACTGCAGAACTGTGCTGGTGAAGACTGTGGGTAAATTACTGGAAAAATCACCAATCAAATGTGGTCTTGTGAGAAGCACGTCTGTCCTATATTCAAAGATTATATCACAGTCTATAAAAAAGTGCTGCAAAAATATTGAAGATCTTAGTTGATGCCAAAAAAAAGTAAATGAAGTAAGTGTAACAATATACATTGGCAGATCAGAGAGTTTATGGAAGTGACAGTGACTGAGTCACCTGCAAGATTAAGGTTTTTAAATGAAAGTAAGTGTAACAATATACATTGTTAGATCAGAGAGTTTATGGAAGTGACAGTGACTGAGTCACCTGCAAGATTAAGATTTTTAAATGAATTTAAGAGTCAATACCCTTCTGTATAGACACATCTATATTTCAAAGAAAATTATTTAAAACTTGCTGCTGCTTTTATATGGTTAGGCAAGTGTTGAGTGAGAGTTTTTCGGTGAATAAGGAACTTGAAGATGAAAACCTGCTTAATGAATAATTAGTACATCAGTCACAGAACAGCTTTTGCTCTATATAATCATATGCCTTCTGCATAAGACCTGCCCGTTAAAGAATTTTATTTTTATTTGATAGCTGCATCTATAATTAAGAACAAACATTAAGAATAAATATCAGTAATATAATTTTTTTTTCTCAACACCATTATAGTTTGTTATTCTGATACAGCTACATAAACTACAGTTGCAGTTTTGACTGTAAAATGCTTGTACATTATAGTATGATATTATTTTTTGGTTGGGGAAATTATAATGTGTGTATGGTCGTGAAAAGTACTTAAGTGCTTGATTACCCTTTGCAAAATATTGTACAAACCCTACATAAGAATAGTCTACATGTTTTTAGATCACTCGTAAATCTTTAAAATAATATAGATATCACAATACAATGCTAGATGTTTTTGGATAGTTTAACATTATAATCTAGATGTAACAGAATAGCTTGTTCGAGATGTTTTAACAGTACAACATTGGATGTTTCAGATGGTATAACAATCTAGATGTAAATAAAATACTAGGTGATAATTGATTTTGGACTTTATAACATTATAAACTAGTAACAGTACAGCAACTTGGATGTTATAATGTATTTGAGAACAAGCTAATGCCAACACTAGTTGTTTTTAGATGGAGTAACATTATAATCTTTGTGTAACAGTAAAATTCACAATTCTAATTTTGAATCCATAATGGGCAACTTAAGAGGAATTTGGGGAAGTACATCTGCAGTTTCTAATGGTTCACCCGCTTTTGGTATTTAAACCATAACTTTTAAAGTACAATTTCTAATTTGAACAGAATAGTCTTGTCTAGATGACATACACAGTGGAACACACTGAACACTATACTGCTTTACTAGTACTTTCATTATATAGTAAATAGTGCTTTAGCACTCTCTAGACAACTTATTAAATATAGCACCCTGTAGCTGGTGCATTGACACACTACACAGCATATAATAAAGCAGCACTCTGTAAATGGTACATTAGCACCCTAGACAGCGTATAGTAATTCAACTGTGTAGATGGGGCAAGAGCACTGTACAGTACATAGTAATGCAACATTGTAGATAGTGAATTAGTATTCTCCATAGTGAATGTGTTTCTAAGTATATCAACTGATTCTATGTAAAAGTAAAAGCAATTAATATCTTATGGAGGATTTGATTATATTAGCTTATATTTTACTGGATCTAGGGTCTCTATGCCATGTCTGTGAACTGTATGGAAGCTGCTGAAGCTCAGTTTGGTGTAGTATTGAGGGTAAGTGTATATATTTATAGTTAAAATATCTAAAAGTTTTTGCTAAAATCTGGAGAGAAAAAAAATACCTGCTTAGTGGCATATTAATATAAGAAGGTTGGTTTGGAAAATTCTCTTCAGTTAGGAAAGTACTTGATTCATCACATGATAAGTTTGACACTTCATACAAGATTTTGCTTTATTTTTTTTCACCAAAACGAAATTGTGATATTCTTGAACACAAATTCTGTGTAGCTGATGAAACACTAAATATAATGTTTGTAGACAGTGACTTTATCTTATCATTTAGATATTCTTGTGTAATAGAAAGTAATTTTCAATATATTAAATATTTATTTGCTGTATTATAGAATATGGTAATGGAATGGTTAATTTTAGAGTAATAAAATCAACTGTGTATTTTCTGTATACGTTTTTGCTTGATCTTCAAGATTGTTTATCTGAAAAAATCTAGTTTTATCACAACTGTATCATGTTTTATTGGCACTAGTGATTATTTTTTTTAAATTTTATAGTTTTTTTTTGTCTGTTTGAACAGTTTTAGATAAACTATTCATAATGTTTCTGTAATTTATGTTTGCTTTTAGAGTAATGCAGCAACAGAGCTGAGAATTCTTGCCAGTTTGAATCTGGCCATTGTCTACTTGAGATGCAGAAAGGAAAAGGAACTTTCAGAGTTGTTGGCTCGCCTCAACCCCGAAGCTTTGCCTTCTGGGTAAGTTATACGAGATTCTTTCAGATTGACTGCTTATTTCTTGAAGACATTTTTATAAAGTGTAGCAGTTCTAGTGATTGCATGGTGCTTATTTATTGATAACTTTCTATGATCTTTGCCTCTCTTCACATAATCATGGGTCCAGAAAGGTATTGGAATATATAATTTTGCTGTCCTAACCTTGAAAGGGTCTTAGATTTCAGTGCTGTAAAAATTCAAGTAATAAAATAAAAATTGTGGTAACTACTAATGAATAATGGATGCATAAAAAGCATAATTTCAAACATTTATTAGAATTTCACCCGCCTTCATCAGTTCCTTATTAGCTGTGGTTGAATTGATGAGTAAGCACACAGAAAATTGGTTCATTTTGGGAAAAAATAACCTTAATTTCTAATTGTTGAACTAAAACAAAAAATTATTGAATTTGAGAATGTTATCATGATCTGTTATTGAAGTGGATTACTCAGTGTGTAATAATCCATGCAACATGATTTGTTTCCCTAATAATCAATACATATTGTAGTTGAATACTTGTTCTTGTTTTTGACACTATTTGATTGTGATGTTGTAGATTTTATTTTTTGTGCCTTTTACAAGAAAACAAATTAAAAAGTAAATATAATGAGCAGTATTAAACCGGTTCTAGTGTCTGTTGGATAGAGCTCTAGCAAAAGTTTCATAGTTGATAATTAACAATTCCAAAACATACAACTAATAGCTATTTCTCAATATTCATCTTTGCCATCTAACGTCGTGTTTGCTTGCTCCAGTCTTTATATACCCCACTCGACTGCCCTCGGCAATATCTAATTTGCAAAACTTTACGCCGGCCCTCACATGCCCTCTGTGCAGGTACTGTATGCAGACAGTAAAATCACTTTTTCTCTGCAAAGTGCAAGCATTTAGACAAAATTTTGTGATTTACATTTTCTTTGTTTTTGCTTTCTAATAATTGGCAATTCTTTGTTTTGTTATCCAGAGATTTATTTCATTGAATTTGTTTTTCGTTTTTTCCTACAAATATATTACAAAAACAAGATGTTTTTCAAATCAGCCTTCGTCTATCTCCCCCTTAGTTATCTAGTGGGGGTCAGCAGTCAGGGAGCAACTTTCTGTGGAAGCTGTCCGTGACCTGATTCGGGGTGAGATCAAGTCCTTTATGCAGGCAGGGGATATCTCTCTCTGGGAGATGCTGATTTGAATTTTCATTCTGCAATGAGATATTCTGAGGAGAATTTAGACTCCCTGCTTCTTCTTTCATTAGAGCTTCCTTTCCTGAGGATTCATCTGATCAGCCACTTTCTGCCCCCTTTTTCTGCAGTTATTTACACGTGTTTGTGAAGTTTTGGAGATACAACCAGTTGCTTTTGAGTCTACCCCTGCTTTGTTGTCCGATTGTTCTCAAGGGGATTACTTAGTTTTTCCTCCTTATCCTGATATTACTGTGCATGCAGGGAGGTTTGCAACACAATTACGGGAGGGTGTCTCTGTGCCTTCCCCCCTCAGTTATCAGAACAACATACAATGGAGTATCATTGTCAGGATGATATATATTTGGACACTCAACAGTTGGATTTGTTGTTAAATCTATGGGGTGCCAGGTACAAACCTGTTATCTCTTTTAACAGGTCGTAATTTTCGCGGATTTGTTTGACTCTTACTACTGTTTTAAGATACTTCTCTTCCCTTCAACTTTTGTCTGAAGCATATCACTGATCGCCACAACAATTTGATAATGAACTGGGCCATTTACTCGTCTCTATTATGGCATGTTTGTCCTCTTCAGGACTTACCTTGGTGTCGTGGTTGGTCTGTTGCTGGGACTTGTTGAGTCGTGATGCATTTCACTTACCTTCTTCTGCCCTTGAAGATTTATGGGAAACACCTTTTCTTCGGCTTTATTTATTTGCTGGAATTCCAGAATCTTTAGAAGCCGAAGTTGATACAACACGTTTGCAGTCTTCTTTATCATCTTTGGCTGCTCGACCTTATTCTACTTCCACTTGTACTACTGCATGTTCATCCTCTCATGTCCCAAGGCCCCCTCCTTCCACACTTTGTTCCATTGGTTCTCTTAATCATTCATATCTCATTACCTTCACGATCTGGCAATTTTCTCTTTGAAGGGACTTCATCTTCCCCATGTGGCTGTGTTAGCTACCTCTACTGTGTTATCTGACTTACAGTTATTGTTCCTTTCTTTTGTAGAGTCCAAATTTGATGCTTAACTATGTGGTGGGTGGTGCTTGGACCTTCTTATGAACACTATCAGGTCTCATGTTGTTTATGCAGGGGGTTCACTATCTCCTCATAAATCCAAATGTGATTTGATGGGGTAGTAAAGACAACTGTTTGTAAATCCAGACTGGATGAGTTCTGGACTTTGGTGGAGTATAGCATTTGATCCTGTCAATCCAGACCTGGGATATTGCCTTTTGGACTTCTTCAGGTTGATCAGAAGGATTGACCATTTTGGTGTTGCTTTCTTTCATTCATAAATTTGGTGGTTCGAAATGCATAATTCTGTGGTTACTGGTAGGGATCTTATCACAAAGATGTATATATCTGTGCTCCAACTGCCCTGGCCATCACCATGGGATATGGGTACTATGACCCCTTAAATCCAACCAGAGTTGTGGAACCTCATCTGTTTGGTCCGGGCTAGACCATCATACTTGTATTATATTCCACCCTTTTCAATTTTCTGTAGTTCTGAGTGAAGATCATACCTGTTCTGGATGTAGTGCAGTGTTCCCTACTCTGATACCACTTCTCATGATACATATTTGTTCTCTGCAGATGCTTTTTGTACGATCTCTGTCCTCACCGGCCCCTCCACCTTCTCAATGTGGGATTCTAGCTATTAGTGTCAGCAGAGGTATGTATGTTTCGCAAAGTTATCATTTTCTTAAAATGAAAATGTATTTCCAAACATACTTATCTCCCCTCCCTTCCTCCCCACTAAGAGCTGGTGTTAGCGACCGGAATATGGTAAGTCTCGAAAAAGTGATTTTATTGTCTACATACAGTGTTTACATACACTACCTGCATGGAGGGCGTGTGAGGGCTGGCATAAAGTTTTGCAAATTAGATATTGCCAAGGGCAGTCAAGTGGGGTATATAAAGACTGGAGCAAGCAAACACAATGTTAGATGGCAAAGATGAAGATCGAGAAATAGCTATTAGTGTGAGTGGATGTAT